CTTGTAAGAAGCTGGAAGAAATTTGAGAGCTCTTCTGCTGTTGGCAATGTGGGAAGAGGAGAAGCCTTAGACTTTCTCCCTAGTTAGGGGAAACTATGGCAAGTTTTGAAGCCGAAGATACTTTAGTGGGCAGTACAGAGGGAATGACAAGCAGACCTAGAAGTGGCTTACTCTTAAGTTATGGGTTAGGTTTGACTTGTAATTTTTCATTATTTCCCAAACTTAAAATTGCAAAAGAGAAGTCTTCCGTAATTGTACTGTTGTAGTGCTAGGTGTACAAAATAGCTGTGTTATCTTTTTCTTTCAGTGTATTGATTACTGAGATACTTGAACTTTTTCATATTTTTTCAGTAAAGTCTCTATCCAGTACACCCTGCCGTGACACGTTAAATGATGAATTCTTACTGAACTTAAAAAGACTTGCAGTGAAATACTGCCTTTGTTAATGTATGTTTTGAAGAGGATGATCTTTACTCAATTCAAGATTTAAATTAGTGAAAAAGTTTTGCTTCAGCATGCAATGTTCTGGATTAATGGCTTGTATTCAGATGTAAGCTACTGATCTAAGTGTTGTGTTTTTTTTTTTCCTCAAGAAAGTAAAAATAAATTACACAACATTTTGGTGTCCTGGGTATAGATACCTTGGCACACTGAAAACCTAGCAGATTTAACATATTTAAGCTTTTTTAAATACATCTAAAAGACTCAAATCCTCTCAACCCTCGCCTCTATGGAGCTAGTTAAAAGCACTCTCTACTCTTTCTGTTGGCTTGTACGTGATAGACACTTTTTTTTCGAACTAATCTGGTGACTACCATACTCAGCTAACTGTATTATATATAAAGAGAAGACTAATCTTTTAATTCCTGACTGAAATCTTGAAAACTCATGGCTAAATCTGTGCTATCTTGCAACTTTGGAGATACTTAATTGTGTATTGTAAGAGACTATGTATAAAACTGCCCTAAATGAAAAGACTTTACTTTTTAATGATGAGGAAAATAACTTGCATCGAGCTTTTGGGGTTACTTAAAATAGTTGTTTAACCTAATTGATTTGTAGCGAACCTCTGTGAAGTCACCTTTGACAGTTTTTGAGGCGATATTGATCTTCTCTCTTGTACTACTATGCAGTTATTTAATCACAGTTAAATAGAAGGGTGTATATGCATGAAATTGTTCCTCTGTAGCATGACTTCATTGTGAAGCCCAACCTTGTCCAGCCTTTTTTTGCTTTATTGCCAAATTTTTGCTGCTTGGTGGCAGCAAACCAGATACTCTTTGCTCTGTACTTGCTTCTGTGTTCTTTTCCTACTAAAGCAGACATAATATCGTCAGATTGCAGTTCAGTGAAAGGATAAGGGAATTCTAGCAAAATCCAGGAGGTCTTGAATGTAGGTTGGATAGATGATGATAACAGTTGATATGTCATAGGTCAGACTTTCAGAGGTAATGCTCAGATTTATCTTTAAATATGTAGATTAAGTGGAAAAAGTGAAGCCTACAAGAACTTTATAAAAAAATTGTCTAACCCCATATGAAAAGTCAGAATTTTTACATGTTTTGTTATAAACCACTTTTCTAGCACTCTTCTGAACCTTTGTAACTACATAAATAGTGTAAGAATTATTATAAGAAGGAAAGCATAGCAAGTATCTGGCATTCTCCTTACTGTTTACAATTTTTATTGGCTTGTGTTACTTTTTGACTTCATGCTTGCGTCCTTTGGCACAAGTTAATATGTGCTTTGATACAAGTTAATAATGTTTATAATTCCTGGTGGAATCCAGCCAGAAACTGTAAGCTCCTCAGGGCAGGAGCTCTGGCTTTGTTTTGCACTACAGAAGTAATAACACTCCCCAACACAAATCCTTACTAGCTTGCCAAAGGGCACACCAAAATCTGCTGACTTTGGTTTGATGGAAGAAGGCAGGCTTGCAAGTGTTAATATCCAGGGGTGGTACAAGTTTATTTTCAAGGGAATCTGTCTAGGGAAGCATACAGCTTTTTCCCAAAGTTTTCCACTTATCCTAGTTTTAGGGCTCCCAGGTGTGAGTGTATGGGGCAAATCTTTTCCAACTGGTGATCTATCATGATATCAATAGAGATCCAGATGTGCCCAGTCAATTTTTTATTTATTCTGCCCATAGCATTTCCTGTATGTCAATAATAGTTTTTTTTTTGCTTAGAGGGCAAAGGGGCAGGCTTTTATTTCTTCTCTTACTGCTTCTAATTTCTGGTATGTGATAGTTTAGGATTAAGAGTGAAACTGCCTTAGAAATGCCAATAGAAGTTTGGGAGACCTGATTACAAAGGTGCACTGCCAAGCATGGTGTTAGTGACTTACGCTAAGTTTGCGGTGTGTGCAGCACACAAGTGAACATCGAGGAAGTCTAGAATTAACTTCCATGGAAAAACTGTAAGTCAGTTTGGTTAGAAGAAGGTTTGTTCTCTTTCAGGTTAATTTTATTGATTGTTGTAGACTTTTAAGCTATTTGCTTGTGTTTTTAAGTATGAGAAAACAACCTTCTGGAAATGGTGGATTTACATACAAATAAATACCATTTCTTGCCTTTTACTAAAAATCTGAATTTTTCATATGAAACTTAACACTTTTTTCATATGAAACTTAACTTTTTTTCATATGAAACTTTACACTTTTGTGTAAAGTTGCAAAAGGGCTAGTTTAAATTTGCGGTGTTAGTTTTTAGTATAAATTTGAGTTTACCACAACTAATATGTAATGGTGCATTAATGTTGCTTAGTTCTAGGATAAAGTAATGGAAAAAAATAACCCAAATCTAAACAAAAAAAAATAGATTTTTACACAGGAAAGACATTGTACTTGCAGTATTTGTAATAGTTGTAAAAATATTGTTAAACTTAGCATTTGACATGTGACTAACAACTGTACATCCACAAAACTGGTTTAAATGTAGACATTAAAAAGAAGAATGACTCTTATAAGATATGAAGTGTTCTTGTTTAATTGTATGTATGTATTTATACGCAAGCACTCTAGAGGGTTTTTTTGTTTTCTTTCAGAGATATAACAACAATGAAAGGTACCATTGTTGCTCAAGTGGATTCGAGTGAGTCTTTCCAGGAGTTTTGCAGTACTTCGTGTTTATCCTTCTATGAAGATAAACAGAATCCCTCAAAAGGAGTTTTGAATAAATCAAGATGCACTATTTGTGGTAAACTAACTGAGGTCTGGTTGACTTTTTTGTCTTACCTTTATTAATAACATATTCTGAAATAGGAGAACTGAAACAAAGGAAATGTAAAATCTGATTCAGCATTTTCATATGCAGTAAGATATTAAGATATGCAGGCTTAATGGTCATGAAGAGCAACTGAAGGAAGAAAGAATTAAAAGAGGTTAATACTTGATTTTTGTTTCAGAAACTTGAAGTGCCTTTTGCTGATACCTTGTAGCTACTGTCAACAATTTTATTAGGCATACAGTCTTGTAATTACAACCCAGATCTCCCACACAGAAGAATTACTGTTGAAGAAAGTCAAGATTTACTGTATTACTTTCTTTTTTACTGTATATTTTGAAAGATTACACAAATGTTTTTAGAGATACGTAGAATATACATAATTTCAGATTGTCACGAATGTATTAATTTACTGTTACTGGGCCCACCATAGTTCAGGGTACTAATTTACACAACATATGTGTCTGACTAGTCTTCATATGTCATGCTGTTAGCCTGCAAATATAATATTTTGTAAAATTGCATAAATTGACCTGCTGCTCTAATACATAATTTTTACATTATTCTCTGTGACTTTGCTTCTAGGCTGCAGCAGCAAATGAGTCCAAGACCTTTTTCTAGAACTTTGGAGGCAACAGAAACACCAATTTCTGTTTCTATATTTCATAGTTGTTTCAAGCATCTCTGTTCTTAAATAGTGAGCTAGTATAATCTGGTTTTAGCTATAGTACTTGAATGTAGGACTTCTGGGTTGTCTAGTACTTTCAGGCACCTTTATGCTTGTGTGGTGATAAAATACTTTATTATTTTTATTTTTTAGATTCGTCATGAAGTTAGCTTTAAAAATATGACTCATAAGCTGTGCAGTGACCATTGCTTCAATAGGTACAGGATGGCAAATGGTTTAATAATGAACTGCTGTGAGCATTGTGGGGAGTATTTGCCCAGTAAAGGAGCTGGAAACAATATTCTTACTATTGATGGTCAACAGAAAAGATTTTGCTGTCAGAACTGCGTTGGTGAATACAAGCAGGTAATTACTTCTTTACCTATAAATTAAAATGAAAGAAACATTAATACTCCTTAAATTTCTCTTGTTATTCATAACATACTTTTACTTCTAATGAGAAGTCTTAAGTAACAGACTCCTAAAAATTATATTAATACAAATGTGGGCACACTAGCTAGACTGGACCTTTTAATACTGACTTTTCTGATGTTACTGGAATAGCAATACCAATTTGTTGTTAATGAAAATATAGTTGAAATGAAAATTTCTGTTACTAATTCAATTTCTTTCTAATGAGTGTATCACTTAGAAGTATATTAATAGTAAGCCTGATGCACCAGGCTTACTGATCCTTAAGTGATATTCTTTTTTAGATGTAAAAGCTCACTTGTATGAAATTGAAACATGGAAAAAAAAATGTGCAGAGCATACAGAATGGATGTTGCTGTGAGAATGCTCTTAACTGATTACACGTTGGCTGTGTACCTGGGCTATGTCTAATCTTCACTGTACAGCTTAGGATTTCAAAATTTATTGTTACTTTCATCCTTCCATGTGTTAAGTTTTGTGCTTTCATTTTCTTTACTCGGTGCGTTTTCTATTTATTCTTAAGACTGTTAAGATAGTAATAATTGTTGTGGTTAAAAATAATTTCAAATCAAGAAAGCTGATGCTGATATCTTTTACGTGTGTGTATATATATATACGAGGCAGCTTAGCTCTGAACCATTGCTAATGCTGACTGGAAAGTTTAAATGTTAATACAGTATTTATAGTATAATAAGATAGATCTGAAATATTAAATATTTTGGGGGAGGATATGCAATTTGGGGAAATTTTTTTTTCAGGTTTTTTTGCTTGGTACATTCTGCTCGGAGTTTACAGGGATAGTGTTAAAAGTACAATATGAAATATGAAAGTACTGTTTTACTAGCAAAAAATTTCTTTATCTGATTTTGAAGTTTGCACTTGAATTATGTGAGTGGCCCCGTGCTGCACATTGCTTTGGATTCTTTCTTCATCTCTGTTTTTAAGAAACCAATGATCCAAGAGAAAAAGGAGTGCAGTGCTGAATGTTTTTAAGTTCTTTAAGGTTGCATCGTATATGTTTGTATTTTCTCTTTGGATATTCAGTTTTGATGCTTTTGGGGATGGATGTTCTTGTGTATATGCAATGTGCAAGCAGCAAATCTGGAAACGTGCGTATGTAAACACCGTAACTGAAAACGTAACATAAGCGTTATTCTTTTGTCACAGCTATACCAAAAGGGACAGGATAGGTTTCCAAGATACTAAAAACATAGGCATGCCCAGAAGCCATGGAAAGACTTGAAGAAACGTTGAATACTGTCTCTCGAAGAAACAAAAAAGCATGAGATTAACTTTGAACTTGAGACATTCCCACACAAGCAATATAACATGCACTGCACATGGAATTATGAAATGAACGTGGAATTTTGGGGGCTCAAACGATAAATGTGTACTTAACTTTCGTTACAGACTGTACACTAATTGTTCAGATATTGTTGTATTTTGTGTTCAGATATGTATTTGAGAATAAGAAGGATATGGGTAGCGAGTTGCCTGTTCTGGTTTGATTTGGGGAGGAGAAGCAATTTGCAGCACCAGGAATCGTCACAAGTAGTGTCAGGTATTGCGCGTTATTGTGAGGATCCTTAAGAGAATCTTTAAAATTGAGATGCATTATTTTGGTGCATTCAGGTCTGATAGCAGACTTTATTCGAGCAAGTTCTTAATTCTTTTGTGGAAATACTTAGTACTGGGGAACTGTAATAGGCTCTGAGAAGATTGATGCGAGTGCTCGTATGCATCTGGTTTGGAATGGTGATTAAGTGTAATTCTTAACTGGTAGGTTTCAAATGTTCCTGGAGTTTTGGGGGTTTTGTGGTATTTTTGATATTAAGAAAAACTCAAGCTATAAAATTAGAAGTTTTTTAGTGTATGTTATAGGTGTCGAAGTTGCTCAGGACACAGTTATTTGAGAATATTTAGTTGTCTAGCAGGTTTTATTTAGGTTTGAACTTCCATTTGCATTAAGGTTTTTTTGAACTGAATGTTTTCATGGAATTCTGTTTTTCAGAAATTAATTTAGACTTTGGAAAATGTCACTGACAACTCATTGGATTACAATTGGTAAATTGTAGGTTGCCTTGTTCAGTCGACCGTGTTTTCTTGGAAATTTTTGATTAGATCTTTCTCTTAAAGGAGAACTGGTGAAGGAGAGAACATAGGAGAGTCGCTATTACATCCTGAAATAAACTTAATGGAATCAATAATATAGGAAAAGTTGATGTATCATTTGATTTCAGCATTGTGTTGTACAACTGATTATTGTGTGTCACTTAGTTTTAGCAAATGTTTTCTTACAAACAGTTGTAAAATACTAGGTCTTGCTGGTATGAGCTTTGTATTAAGCAGTTTATTTTGTAAATGTCATACACCTATCAATATGCTATACATTTGTAGTAGTAATAAATGAAAACTGATTCTTATTACTTGTACCCATCTATATACTTCATCCCTATTTTTTTAAAATAAATATTACTGTTTTGAACAATTATTTTTTCAGTAAGTTATCATGGACAATCTTTTCTTCCTGAAATGAAAAAAATAAAATTGTGGGTAATAAAAACTACTGTGGCTCTCAGAATGGTCACATTCTGAGTGCAAATAATCCATCGCCTACAAAGGGTTTCTTTCCTCTGCTTTAGACTGTTGGTGGGAGTAAGAAATAGTGTTATTCCTGGGACAGGGAGTAGTTTTTTTTTCTGAAGTGCCTAAGTTGCCTTTCAAGGTGACGGATGCACTTAGCTTTCTACGTATCAGTTTCATAACTGCTTTAAAACTGGGACACAAATAATCTTGAACATTGCATCCTGTGTTTTGCTTTTCTGAGAGATGGTGGCTTTTCTTAACATAAAACGGAAGTAATTACAGAGCTTAGGTTTCCTTCATATTAAAAAAGCTATAAAAATAGATTAATAAATTGTGTAATAATTAAAAAAAAAAAAAACACAAACCCCAAAACACAAAACCAAACCAAATTTGAATAGACATAGCCTAGCTAATGATCACTGTGGTTATTACATGCAAGAACATGTGACACGTTTCCTGATTGCACAACAGCCATTCATGAAGGGAGCTGAGTGCAAGGCAAGCTTTTCTAAAAAAAGAGAAAACAACAAGATCCTTCCTCCAAAAATGAAATCACTGTGACAATTTAGATAATATGTCAAAACAAAGTCCTTTTTGGAAGTGGTTGATTTTTGTAAACCTGAAGAAGGCCACTACTACTACATTGTAAATTCTTTACCTGTTGCACTGAAGTTGGTACTCCTCTCATGTAGAGGATCAAGAGGGACTTTAAGAATGATGCTAAACAAAACAAAAACAACACTAGAAGAGAATGAGATTATATCTGACAGGGAGGTGGCTAAATTGTCTATGTAATTGTGCAAATGCTGAAACATTTTATTTCTTCAAGTAGGCATTTCATAAAATTAAAATGAGAACATAGTCATTAAAAAATTAGTGATTCATTAAAAATTAGTATCTATGCAACAAATTGAAACAGACCCCAAACATGCCTGCCATGAAGACACATTAACCAAGAGCATGCACACATGTTGTTTCTGTGTTTCTGATACTATTGCATATTTTCTGTCTCTACAAAATTAGTCTACTTCCTTTTCAAGGCAGTTGCAATGTTGCTTGAGTCCTGGTTTGCTGGATTTGGGTACAAGTTTGACAACCTTTTTCTAAGTAACAAGTGAATTCTGTGAGTTAGCTTGTGCGACCAACCATACCTTTAAATTTTCAGCTGTTCAACTAAGATAAAGCTGAGTCTTTGTCTACTTTTAAAAATACAGTTTTTAACTGCTTTGCTTACTGGCCTTGTCAGTCCACAGTGCTTTTGATTCCGCCACGAAAGCATTTAATGCTTTACTAGTTTAAAATATTCCTTCTACTTTTTTTTTTTTGCTTTGTTTCCTTAACTAAAATTCTTCTTGTTAGAATACGACCTGGGATTCACTTGTTTGGGGGGGAAAAAGTGTGTGCTTAAAAGTGATGGTTTTCATGTGCTGTTGGAAAAGGGGCAAGAAGCTCTAGCTATTTCTTCATAGGCTTCTTAGTAGCTCTGGAGTGAAGTGAGTACCAGGTGGATGCAAGCCAAATGAGTGTTCTCCTAGTTCTAGAGGGTGCTTGCAGTGGTGTCTTTTCATCTAGTGAAAGTTTTCCTTCAGTACTGAATAAAGGTATGTTTGATTGACATCCTTTGTTAGATGAAGACTGACCACTGAATGTACTTGAAGACTAACCAAGCTATGTCATCCCTTGAAGCTGTTCACTTACAAGCAATAGACAAAACCCAACCTGAGACAGTTGTGCTTCTTTCTTCTGAATTCTGCTCTTTGCCGAACAACTGCTTTTGTGAAACTCTTAACTCATTTCAGCTGCTTTCTGTGTGCAGGGCTTTAGGAGCCTTCACTGTGTACAATACCAGGCATATCAGTTCTGCAACTTACGATTCATTGCTTATGTAGCGTTTGTATTTAGACTCACAAAATATTCTGTTACCTACTGGTTTAAGTCTCGCTGAGTGCTATGCTAGAATGTCTTGTCACATAGTACTTCAGTGGAAGCATCTAGGATTTTCAACTTCGTCTTGTCCCATGCGCAGTGTCTGTTCTTCTGTGCTTCTTTGCTGTTAAGACAGATCTGTTCTTCTTTTGGTTTTGATAGTACAATTAACTTCAAAATCTGCTGTTTCCTGACATTGTTACTGCTTTTTTAACTCTTGTTTCCAGCCATCTGGTTCAAGAGTAGATACTGAACTCGTTTCCAGCCATCTGGTTCAAGAGTAGATACTGTTGACAAAAATAATTGTGAGAGCTCAATAGCCCTTTCATGTTGAAATTCTAGAAATACTGACTTTTCAAATTTTTTTTTTTTTTTTTTTTTGTAATTTCTGATCACTTTTAAAGAAGTTCTGTAGTTTCAGC